TAAGTGCAGTAACCGAACTTTTTACAATAAATCACTATACAAATCACGATAAGTCTACTACCAAACTAATATAATCCTATTTATGTCACCATAGCTCGTAAGTACAGTAACCGAACTATATACAGCAAAACACTATACAAATCACGATAAGTCCAATCCCAAACTAACATAGCCCTATATAAATCACTTATGCAACCACAATAGTCTGTAAGTACAGTAACCGAACTTTTATAACAAAACACTATACAAATCACGATAAGTCTAATACCAAACTAACATAACCCTGTCTAAATCACTTATGCAACCACAATAGTCGGTAAGTACTGTAACCGAACATTTTTCAGCAAATCACTATACAAATCACGATAAGTCCAATACCAAACTAAATTATCCTGTTTAAATCACTTATGTGACCACAATAGTCTGTAAGTACAGTAACCGAACTTTTTACAGCAAATCACTATACAAATCACAATAAGTCAATACCAACTAACATAATACTATATAAATCACTTATGCCATCATAGCTCGTAAATATAGTAACCGAACTTTTTACAGCAAATTACTATACAAATCACGACAAATCCAATACCAAGCTAACGTAACCCTATCTAATCACTTATGCAACCACAATAGTCTGTAAGTATACTAACCGAACTTTTCACAGTAAATCCACTACCAAGCTAATATAGCACTATCTAAATCACTTATGTCACCATAGCGAGTAAGTACAGTAACAGAGCTTTTTACAGCAAAACACTACAAATCACGATAAGTCTAATACCAAACTAACATAACCCTATCTAAATCATTAATGAAACCACATTAGTATGTAAGTACAGCATCCGAACTTTTTACGGCAAAACATTATACAAAATCACGATAAGTCCAATACTAAATCAACATAACCCTATCTAAATCACTTATGCCACCATAGCGAGTAAGTATGGTAACCGAACTTTTACGATAAGTCATACAAAACTAACATAACTCTACCTAAATTACTTATGAAACCATAATAGTCTGTAAGTATAATAACCAAATTTTTTTTTACAGTAAATCACTATACAAATCATGATAAGTTTAATATCAAACTAACATAACTATAGTCGGTAAGTATAGTAACCGAACTTTTATAGCAAACCACTATATAAATCACGATAAGTCCAATACCAAACTAATATAACAACCACAATAGTCGGTAAGTGCTGTAACCGAACCTTTTATAGCAAACCACTATATAAATCACGATAAGTCCAATACCAAACTAACATAATCCTATCTAAATCACTCATACAACCACAATAGTCGGTAAGTACAATAAACCGAACTTTTTACAACGACAAGTCCAATACCAAACCAACATAACCCTAATTAAATCACTTATGTCACCATAGCTCGTAAGTACAGTAACCGAACTTTTTACAGCAAATTACCATACAAATCACAATAAGTCCAATACCAAACTAACCTAAATCACTTATGTCACCATAGCTCGTAAGTACAGTAACCGAACTTTTTACAACAAATCACAATACTAAACTAACATAGCCCTATCTAAACCACTTATGTCGCCATAGCGAGTAAGTACAGTAATTGAACTTTTTATTATACAAATCGCGATAAGTCCAATATCAAACTAATATAACCCTATCTAAATCACTTATGTCACATAGCGAGTAAGTACAGTGACCGAGCTTTTTACAGCTAGGGTTTGATCGGTCCTGAGAAGACCGGATAAGGACCGGTCTTTTTAGCCGGTTACAAGGTTCTTCGGTTTTCAGCCTTATAATCAGTCCAGTCCAGTTAATGATAAACTATTAAAATAAACTTTTAAATAGTTAAAAACTATTATTGCATGAATTTTATTCAATAATAATAGCTAAAAATAATAAACCCATAAAAATAGTTCAGGGACCATCTGGACCGATCCAACTCTATTTACAGCAAATTACTATAAATCCAGTACCAACTAACATAATTCTATCTGAATCGCTTATACAACCACAATAGTCGGTAAGTACAATAACTGAACATTTACAGCAAATCACTATACAAATCACGATAAGTCCAATATAGAGTTGGCAACCTACCCGAAACTAGTTTCGGATTTCTTAAAAAAAATCGAAACCCGAAACTATAATCCGAAACTCCGAAACCCTAGTTGACTAATCAGGAAGCATGATCAAGTGTAACATTTAAATCGAAGCGATTACGATCTTTTAAAAATCGCTTCTAACTGCCCATTTTATCCTAACGAAAAAACGATCTAATTATTTCCCTACCCGAATCCTAACCTAAGCTTTTCATATAAAAAAAATTTTTATAAATTTTTTTCATACAAGGATAAAAATAAAAGAATTTTACAGCTGTTCTCATAAATTCTGGGACAACGAAAAGTTTCTGATGACCGTTTCCGAGTTCGGCCATCAGAAATTTTTTTGCTGTCCCAGAATTTGAGAACAGCTGTAACTTTTCTAAAAATTACTCGGCCGGGTAACGAAAACAATTTTATTTGTCTGCATGTATGAAAATTGAAGTTCTGCAGTTTCGGGTTTCTGAGGTTTCGAGTTTCGGATAAGGTTTCGGAAGCTATAATCCGAAACCCGAAACTTTCAAATTTTGGCACAAAGGGTTTCTAGTCCAATACCAAACTAACATAGCCTTATCTAAATCACTTATGCAACCACAATAGTCGGTAAGTACTGTAACCGGACAATTTACAGCAAATCATTATACAAATTACAATAAGTTCAATACCAAAATAACATAACCTTATCTAAATCATTTATGTTACCATAGCTCGTAAGTACAGTAACCAAACTTTTTACAGCAAATCTCTATACAAATCACGATAAATTCAAAACCAAACTAACATAGCCTTATCTAAATCACCTAAGCAGCCACAATAGTCTGTAAGTACAATAACTGAGCTTTTTACAGCAAAACACTATACAAATCACGATAAGTCCAATTCCAAACTAACATAGCCCTATCTAAATCACTTACACAACCACAATAGTCGGTAAGTACAGTAACCGAACTTTTCACAGCAAATCACTGTATAAACCACGATAAACCAAATACCAAACTAACATAACCCTATCTAAATTACTTATGCAACCATAATAGTCAGTAAGTACGGTGACCGCGAATTTTTTATAGTAAACCACTTTTCAAATCATGATAATCCTAATGCAATAAATAATTGTTCCATGATAGGCGGTATAATTATTTTTAAATTTTATAAATTTTAGTTTAATTATTATGTTTATTATTTTTCAACATTCTATTAAGATTTGAGAAAGAATTTCATAATTGGACGAGTGATAATTATGATATTGATCAATTAATTCAGGAAGTACAACTTAATGCAACAGAGTTTAAAGACATTATTGAATGGATACCCTTTAGCAAATTCGCAAATATCAAGTATCTTGCTAAAGGAGGCTTTGGCACGGTTTTTAAGGCAGTATGGATTGACGGATATATTATAGGAATTGATTTGAAGAAGGATGCATGGAAGAGAAGTTCACAAAAAGATGTTTGTTTAAAAAGGCTTGATAATTCTAAAAATATAAAACGAGAATTTTTAGAAGAAGTAAGCATCTTAAATTATATATTAAAGTGCAGTAATCGATTTATCCTAATTAATACTTTAGGTTAAAAATCAACACAGGTATGGGGGCAATTCGGCAATTACGATTTATGGAATAACTAAAAACTCAAAAGATGATAACTACATGATGGTTATGGAATATGCAAAGCAGGGAAGTCTCCGAAAATTGTTAGATAGTGAATATCATGAATTAGATTGGGCTTCTAAAATAGTTAACCTATATTATATAGCTGATGGGCTTCGTATAATTCACCAAGCAAAATTAGTGCATAAAGATTTTCATTCTGGAAATATAGTTAATCAAAATATGTTTAGTTCTTACATTACTGATTTTGGTTTATGTAAGCCAGTGTCAAAAGATTCAGATTCTAAAGCACTTTTTGGCGTGCTTCCCTATATTGCTCCAGAGGTTTTGTATACAAATGGAAAGAAATACACTCAAGAGTCAGACATTTATTCTTTTGGAATAATTATGACAGAAGTTTTTACCGGATATCCTCCATATTATAATATTCCACATGATAAGGATCTAGCATTTAAAATTTGTCTAGGTTATAGACCTGAAATTAGATGCGAAGTTCCTAAACTACTTTTGAATCTGATGAATAGATGCTTAGATGCAGAACCTCAAAACCGACCAACTGCTGAAAAATTAGTTATTACACTGGATGATTTTTATAGATATTTGAAAGATGAAAAAACTGAATTATATAAACAAACTAAAGAGATTAAAGACTCAGGCAAAACTTCCTCAATATACGATCAAGCAAAGTCAACACGACTCAACTATCAAACACATCCACAAGCTATTTACACAAGTCGATTTTTGAATCTTTCAAACCTTCCTGAACCAGGTAATACCATTTTTTATATGTTTTTAAAAAGGTAGTAATATGTTATTTATTGTAAAAAATTTCCGAATCTGCTAATATAGTAAATGCAAGTAACTTAGGAAGTCGACCCATTGATCAAGTTGAAATCCCTTATGTTGAATAATATATTCAATCAAATTATATAAAAAATTCATTACTTATTTTATTATATATTGGTATTTTAGATTAATAAATCGTATCTTATGCAATACTGTATTTATAGAAATACTATATAGTTATTGGATGCGAAGCAGCCAATAAATATTTTTATTGGTCGTGCAGTCATTACTTTTTTTTTTCTACAAGCTATTTTGTTTACATATGCTATTTACTCTGTATGCAACAGAACTTTATAAATTTGCTGTCAATAAAGTACCGTAGTTATAAAGAACTTAAATTTTTGTGGTTTTCCTGATCAAAAAAATAACCATAATACATTTTTATTGCAAAAATATGAACGTATTCCTTCGTTATAAATATGCTTTAAGCTTTTCTGACAATGTTATTGGCTACATTGCTAATTTTCCTCTAAGTTCACTGACTTGAATAACATCAATAATTGATATTTGAATACACTTTCTAAACTTCAAACTTTATGATATAAAATTATACACTGTGCCATAAAGATAACCATAAGAATGAATAATGAATACTACCATTGTCGGTGTATTTAAATTTTCACAAATTATTTTTCTATCCATATGACTTGGTAAAATAATTCGAGGAATTAATGGAATGTCTTCTAAAGTTTTAATCATATGCAACGACAACTGTGATTGAACAAGCTATAAAAGCCGTTGAGATATATGGTGTCACGTATTAAAAGAGCTTTACAAATAAACACATAAAATTTAACAGTTTATTTTGTAAATCATTTTGTTATATAATTAGCTTTCGTAACTTATAACAAACTTTTTTATTGAATGTATATCTATTTAAAAATCAAAAAAAAATTTTTTTTAAAAAATTGACAAATAAGCCCTTTCAATACGAGGCACACCATATTTTGCCACTGTACTATAATGTACTAAATACTCTGTCAGCATAACCTACTATAAACAATTTGGCGTTAGCATTGACATTTGTTATTGAATGACATTATCTGTTATTAGACGAGCATATAATTATGTGTTAATTCATGTGCAGTGCATAGTAGTTCTATAAATTTGTCAGATTATTTCTTTTACATTATAAAATGAATAATCAGTGAAAGATAAATTAACTATATTTTTATTTAGCTCTACTGGAAGGGTTAGCATATGGTTTATGGTGCTATCATTTAAATAAACTTTACTTATCTAAGAGAAAATCGCAGAATTTGCGTACGAACATTTATTTACTGTTATCATTTGTTACTATCGCTATCCGAATGAGCTTATGACATAATCAAGTGGAAAGCCATGTGCATAGTTCAATTACTTTCATCGAAGTTTCTTTAATATTACAAAAGCTGTAGAAAAAAAATAAATCATTGATAAAAGACTAACATATTCTATATTTTTACTTAATTCAACAGAGCAAGTCAGCAATAGATTGTGGAGCTGTTACTATACATGTTGGCAAAATCCCAAATTATTAATAATTTTTGTTTAAACAAATTGTAGATATTTTTATTGCTATAAATAATATATTTACAAAATATTAAGACTACTTTTTTGATTTAATAATTTACAAATAGCAATTGTTTTTTTTGAATTTGGGATTTGTCCGGGTTTTGCCAGCAAGTATAGCTATTACGCGTAAGAATGGATCGTCTTCGTGAAGACCAAGACCAGACGATAAAAAACCGAAGGCCAACGTAATCGTCTGGTCCTGGTCTTGATTATGGTTTGACGACAAATTAAAGAAAAATAAAATGTAAAATTTTCATAAGCGATAACAAATATTCTGCTTTAGAAAGAATACTCTACTATACCTTACTCTAAGCTAATCGCAAGAGATTATATATAAGCCCAAAGTAGTTTTGGAACAAGCATGCCTCACTATTTCAACAAGAAATAGTTTAAAAGACGAATCTACAAGGGCAATCCTATGTATAAAAAGTTGGCTTCAAAGGGGATTTGCAAATTGGATATTAAACATTTATGCATAGAGATTGAAACTGGTGAGTTTCGAGCATTTATTGACCCCAAACTCTAGAATTTCGAGCATTGGTAAAAAAATTTTGACCGATGTTTGAATGTTTGATGAATTTTTAAAAAATTTAGTAATATTTATTAATTCACTATATTTTTAATATATAATTTATTAATTATATAATCATGTTATCATTTTCAAAGTTAAATTTCAATCAAAAAACACAGGTTGAAATCAAAAATATCTTCTCTGTATCTTCAAATAATCAGCCTAGATGATAGCAGGACGATATAGTGATGGCTATGAACTGATATGATAGTGTATAAAAAAAGCTGATATGCAGAA